TTGAAATTTGTATTTATGCCGTGCCATTTAAATAAATAAACATAAGTTACCAGCAGCAACACTTTGAAATTTACTGCCATTATTTTACTTGCAGCTATATGTAGCTACCAAATATTGTAATGCGATAAATATATTTAGCTGACTCTTTTCTCAGTGTAGCCACGGAGGTTAAACATGTAATAATGTGTTTTGTAAAACCTAGCCGTTGGTTGCTAAATGAACTCAGTAAAACGTTTATGTTGCTTCAACACAAATAAAATAATAGTAAAACTAGGTAATTGATGCATTGCTTTTTGCACTGCAAACTAATTTACAACTCCTAATTGTTGCGATGAGTAGCTAATTTAATCTCAACTAGATTTTGTTGACTTTTTAAGTGTTTTGCAGATATAAATGACACATTTCGTTTACACACATGTGTGATAAAAAAACATTTCATTTTCAAAGAAGCACGTGTGTACCGTTACAATAGTATTTGAATTGTTGTGCGTTAGCGGCTGCTTAGCTGGATCATGGTTACTCATACGCCGTGTGCGTGTTGAGGCAAATTAAATAACATGTAATGTATGTATGTAAAACAAATTTAATGCTTATTATTAAGCATCAAGTTCGATTCAGTAATGAGAATGCATTGACTGCAAATTTCTCACGTTGTCTTTGAAATATAAGCTGAAATGTATTCGCAAGGACGAATTTTGCAGATAATCATTTTATTATATTTTTGTTACGTGTAATAAATTTATTTTACTGCAATAATTTAATTATATATTTATGTACATGCATCTGAAATGCTCTCAATATATCTCGAAGATACATATTTATGTCTAATATTTAATTACTTCAAGCTTTCGATTTGTTGATGTGACCATGATGAATAACAGTTACAGTTTTTTCTTATATAAATGTACATACATAAATATGCAAACAAACATATCGCACACCTGGATCTAATAAAAAAGACGTATAACAGTATTTTTTAAGTCAATGTTTACATAACTTCACAGCTGCAAATTTTTGAAAATGTGTTAGTTGATAATATTTTTTTAGTCGTAAACTCAAAACAAAGACGAGGATATAGACAAAGACAAAGATAATGGTAGTGATAAAGTATGTATGTATGTACTTATATGGATAATAACAAATATGAAGACAAAGACCCAGTCAAAGATAACGGTAAAGGCAAGTATAACAATACGGACAGATATTAAGATTGAGATTATAAGGAAGATGAAGACGGAGATGAAGAAGAAAGCCCAATATGAAGATGAAGATGAAAAGGTAGACGAACTTGAAGATGAAAATGAAAATATGGTCTAAGAATGGAGTTCATATAAAGAATGCGATGAAGATCAAAATACAGGTCGCGTTTAAGATTAAAGTAAGGAAAAAGATAAAGAAATACACAAAGCCATAGACGAAAACAGAGAAAGATGCAAAGTCGAAGGCAGAGATGAAGATAAAAACGCATAAAAATAAAGATAAAGTCAAGGATGGAGGCAGATAGATATGAAGATAAAGATTAAACTGTTTATAATGCTAAATTTGGAGGCAATCTAGCAAAGCCATAGTTCCGCCTTACAAATTTAAGAGCTGTCTATAATTTATCGACAACCGGATCTTTCGCTATCAATCTTTTTATTATTTAAATTAATTTGAAAGACATGTGAATTAATCGCTAGGAAAGACTTCGGGACCAAGGAACCCCGCGGTACAATTCCGAAAAAACGTCTGGATGTGCGGGATCGGGATTGAATACTTAGTCCTGTGCCCAACTCTACCTCCGACTCTAACATAATTGGTCGCGAGTTCAAATCGCAGTGGACACAGTTGAGTTTAAAAGAATTTAAAGTGTTGCTTCAAAATTGAAAAGATATTTAATATGATGAAAATAAAATAAAATAGTATCTTTAAAAGAAAAAATATCAAAAAAGTAAATGTTGAAAATTTTTTCTCATAAAAAACTTGTTGAAAATAGAACCGGTTCTGAACGAGTTAAAAAGTTCTACAGAGCGGGGAGGCGACGAGGGGCAATTGCGCCCGTGACGTACCCTCTTCAAGCTGGCTCAGCGCGAGTTCAGAGCCAGTTTGATTGGCTGCAGGGTAGTCGTAACCGAATCGAAAAGTGTCACTAATAATAACATCATAACAGTTACAATGTCATACTTTTTCGCGAGTAATATTGATTCCGATAACGATAATTAAAGAACAAACTGGCCCGATGTCTCATAAGCAGAAAATTTTTCTCTCTTGGAACTCTACACTTAACCACTTTGCTTAATATCTAGAAAACAATCGCTATTTGAGCAAAGTAAAAAACTTGGTTGAGATTTAATGAAAGCTTTATCTGAAATAAATTGCAGGAAATATTTATTTAATTTTTAAATGAGTAAAACTTTAAAGCCAAATTTCTGAATTAATTTTCTTCTAGCATAGAAACACAGTTACTAATAGATGCAAATAAGCAACCTTTAAAAAGCGACCTTTAAAATTACAAAAAAGTTTAAAAACTACGCACGTCAATACTGCTAATTAGAGATAAAAGCAACACTAAAAAGTGCATAATACAAAGGTCTACTGTGATGATGGAACTAAAATTAGCATTAACTGACACCTAATTCTTGATAAATGTATACTCACATACAACTTCAAACATTCATACTTAAGTACATCCATAAATATACATATGTACATATTTACATAATAAATTCAACACTTAAACAGCTTTCTCAAATACATACACATATTCTTTTGCATTTTCAGGAGTCAACCGCATGGAAGACACTAACGTCACATCCAAATTCATTGGTTCAACTCTTTCCGTCACGTGCCATGCGAGTCGTGCAAGAGGTGGTCAGATCGTTGCGTGTAAGTACATGAATAGTAAAATGCCATTAGCTGGCGGCTAAGTAGGAGTAATGAAAAAGAATAAAAAACAAAATTAATCGTGCCAAAATGGCAATTTGAAATTCAACGGCAAAACTAACGTAGTAAGTGAATAAAACCAGTTAGCTAGCCATTCATGCATTCTAACCGCAACAGTGACCTTCGTTGCAGAATATTGCAGGCAAAAAGTAGGCACATGCCGAATTTGTCAAGAAATAATTCGCATCAAAATTGTTTGCTAAATTGTTCGTTTGTATGAGAATGTATGCACATACGTAAGTAAGTAGGTGTGAATGCACTTGCAAGTGCCGCCGATACTGCAAGTCAGCAATGTAATCTATTCGCCATTAAAAGATATTTTGCCAAGTCGTGGCGAGTTAATTACGGCTCTGCCGCTTGACACACATTTTAGTTCTGACAACGATGTATGTATGTACATACTTTACTAAATTCTCATTACTACGAGCGCACTATTGTTCGAAACGCAGTGGTGTGACGGTTTTTAATTTGACATTTGGGGCATACAAATTTGAAATTGAGGCGCAAAAAATCCCGAATTATATGTAATTTGTATTGTTCCTGTATTTATGGCTGCTAAAATGAATGAAGCGTCTTAAAATTAATGAAATATCGAGTTGTTGTTGGACGAGTATGTTAGGTCAGCGGTACAGGAGGAAGATAGGTAATTTCTAGATAATTTGATATATATTTTCAAATGTGTTTATAGTTGTTAAGGGCTTTTTTAATAAAATAAAACTCTAAAAAATTAAATAAATTTAAAGTAATTGTGTCAAATAACTTACATGTTTCTTATACAATTTCATTTGAATTCCTATCTGAATTAATGTGGTGACTGCATTTCCGGCGACGAGGTAGATGACCACGCTAGTTTTGCATGTTCTCTGTATTCTACGTTCACTGAGTTTTAGTAAGTGTTGTCATCGAAAATGGCCCCCCATTTGAATTATCTCTAGGACTTAATCCGCATCAACGCTGTCGTCTGCCTATGGTTTTACTCACCAGGAATTTCGCGGTCATATGAAAGGAAGTAGTTAATAAGGAGAGCTCAAAATTTGAATATTTAACACGAATATCTTCCTCCGAGACTGTACCCATCCGAAGTTGTCCTTAATAAACGATTTAGGAGACAACGATATCCACGACGAACCAATCACCACCTGCCGCTTTGATATTTTCGAATTTCTCCCAATAGCCTAAAAACTTAAAATGATGAGTTGTAGTTAGGACT